ACCGAAGGTCACAGTGCCGTCCGCATGCGTCCCCCCCACAGTACAGCGTTTCGTGGCCCCATGGGGAGCCCCACCGAAGGTCCCAGTGCTACCGTCCGCATGCGTCCACCCCCACCCAATACAGCGTTTCGTAGCTTCATAGGGAGCCTCACCGAAGGTCCCAGTGCTACCGTCCGCATGCGTCCCCCCCACTCAGTTTCGTGGCCCCATAGGGAGCTCCACCGAAGGTCCCAGTGCTACCGTCCGCATGCGTCCCCCACGACCAGTGCAGCGTTTCGTGGCCCCGCAGGGAGCCCCGCCGAAGGTCCCAGTGCTACCGTTCGCATGCGTCCCCCACACCCAGTACCCAATTTGGCATTTTCACCCACCCAGTACAGCGCTTCGTGACCCCATATGGAACTCCACCGAAGCCCCCAGTGGGACCGCCCGCATGCGTCCCCCACACACCCAATTTGGCATTTTTGCTCACCCAGTACAGCGTTTCGTAGCCCCAGGGGGAGCTCCACCGAAGCCCCCAGTGGGACCGCCCGCATGCGTCCCGTACGCCCAATTTGGCATTTGCTCCCACGCAGTACAGCGCTTTGTGATTCCATAGGGAGTTCCACCGGAGTCTCCAGTGTTACCGCCCACATGCGTCCCCCACATCTAATTTGGCATTTTCACAGCCCGTGCAGCGCTTCGTGGCCCAATAGGGAGCCCCACCGCAGCCCCCAATGGGACCGCCCGCATGCGTCCCCCACGCGTAATTTGGCATTTTCACCCACCCAGTACAGCGTTTCGTGGCCCCATAGGGAACTCCACCGAAACTCCCAGTGGGACCGCCCCCATGCGCCCCCTACGCCCAATTTGGCATTTTTACCCACCCAGTACAGCGCTTCGTGATTCCATAGGGCGTTCCACCGAAGCCTCCAGTGGGAGCCCGCATGCGCCCCCCACGCCCAATTTGGCATTTTCGCACACCCAGTACAGCGCTTCGTGACCCCATAAGGAGCTCCACCGAAACCACCAGTGTTACCGCCCACATGCGCCCCCCACACCCAATTTGGCATTTTCACCCGCCCAGTACAGCTGTTCGTGGCCCCATAGGGAACTCCACCGAAACTCCCAGTGGGACCGCCCGCATGCGTCCCCCACAGGGAGCTCCACCGAAGCCCCCAGTGGGACCGCCCGCGTGCGCCCCCCACACCCAATTCGGCATTTCCACCCACCCTTTACAACGCTTCGCGGCCCCATGGGGAGCTCCACCGAAGCCCCCAATGGGACCGCCCGCGTGCGTCCCACACGCCTAATTTGGTATTTTCACCCACCCAGTACAGCGTTGCGTGGCCCCATAGGTAGCTTCTCCGACGGCCCCAGTGCTACCGCCCGCATGCGTTCCCCCCCGCCCACCGCAGCGTTTCGTGGCCCCATAGCGAGCTTTACCGAAGAAGATATTCACAATTGCGGTACCCACAACTTCATATGGTTGGGTCCTTCGCCAGGATAATTCCCCACATGTTTCGTGGGGTTCTGGTTTTCTTCCCTGCCGCGCCGCACCCGCGTCTCACACCTCCCCTCTCCCGTTCTCTTTCTCGCACAGCACAGCACAGCACAGCACGGCACGGCACGGCACAGCACAGCTCACCGCACAGCAGCACAGCACAGCACAGCACAGCACAGCACAGCATAGCACACAGGGCATTCCTTCGACGCCACAGGGGGTGGGGGTGCGCAGAAGGTGGTCCCTCAGCGCGGCCTCTATCCGTGATACGCTCGCAGATCGTGGCAGGAGTGGCACTTTCTCGACACCACAGGGGGTGCGCAGAGGGTGGTCCCTCAGCGCGGCCTCTATCCGTGACACGCTCGCAGATCGTGGCAGGAGTGGCACTTTCTCGACGCCACAAGGGGTGCGCAGAGGGTGGTCCCTCAGCGCGGCCTCTATCCGTGACACGCTCGCAGATCGTGGCATAGTGGCACTTTCTCGACACCACAGGGGGGTGCGCAGAGGGTGGTCCCTCAGCGCGGCCTCTATCCGTGACACGCTCGCAGATCGTGGCAGGAGTGGCACTTTCTCGACACCACAGGGGGTGCGCAGAGGGTGGTCCCTCAGCGCGGCCTCTATCCGTGACACGCTCGCAGATCGTGGCAGGAGTGGCACTTTCTCGACGCCACAAGGGGTGCGCAGAGGTGGTCCCTCAGCGCGGCCTCTATCCGTGACACGCTCGCAGATCGTGGCAGGAGTGGCACTTTCTCGACACCACAGGGGGTGCGCAGAGGGTGGTCCCTCAGCGCGGCCTCTATCCGTGACACGCTCGCAGATCGTGGCAGGAGTGGCATTTTCTCGACACCACAGGGGGTGCGCAGAGGGTGGTCCTCAGCGCGGCCTCTATCCGTGACACGCTCGCAGATCGTGGCAGGAGTGGCACTTTCTCGACACCACAGGGGGTGCGCAGAGGGTGGTCCCTCAGCGCGGCCTCTATCCGTGACACGCTCGCAGATCGTGGCAGGAGTGGCACTTTCTCGACACCACAGGGGGTGCGCAGAGGGTGGTCCCTCAGCGCGGCCTCTATCCGTGACACGCTCGCAGATCGTGGCAGGAGTGGCACTTTCTCGACACCACAGGGGGTGCGCAGAGGGTGGTCCCTCAGCGCGGCCTCTATCCGTGACACGCTCGCAGATCGTGGCAGGAGTGGCACTTTCTCGACACCACAGGGGGTGCGCAGAGGGTGGTCCCTCAGCGCGGCCTCTATCCGTGACACGCTCGCAGATCGTGGCAGGAGTGGCACTTTCTCGACACCACAGGGGGTGCGCAGAGGGTGGTCCCTCAGCGCGGCCTCTGATCGCAGTGTGGCACACTTTCTCGAGGGGGTGCGCAGAGGGTGGTCCCTCAGCGCGGCCTCTATCCGTGACACGCTCGCAGATCTTGGCAGGAGTGGCACTTTCTCGACACCACAGGAGGTGCGCAGAGGGTGGTCCCTCAGCGCGGCCGCTATGCACGACGGTCGTCCAGGGCATAGCTGGCGTGGCACTTTCTCGACGTCATAGGGGGTGCGCAGAGGGTGGTCCCTCACCGCGGCTGCTATGCACGACGGTCGTCCAGGGCATAGCAGGCACGGCATTTTCTCGACACCATAGAGGCTGCGCAGGGGGTGGTCCCTCACCGCGGCCGCTATGCACGACGGTCGTCCAGGGCATAGCCGGCGTGGCACTTTCTCGACACCATAGAGGGTGCGCAGGGGGATGGTCCCTCACCGCGGCCGCTGGCTGGCTCGAATCTGTCCTCGACGGAGGATAGAAGGCTAGGAAGAGGGAGGAGGTTCAAGCAATATGGCGTTGGATGACACATAGGTGAACATTCGCGACGAGGGCTGAGAACGCAGAATTGCGCATATATTATAAACTTAAGCAAACACACAATATTTAAGTTAAGTATGTGGGGTTCCTCGGTAGCGTAATTTTTTCAAGTTTGGCCTCCGGTCTACCCCCGCACAACAGACCATAATTCAGACCCCCTCACCTCCTTCAAATTATCCGGACGAAGGTCCCAACCATATGCAGTTGTGGGTGCCGTCATTGTGAATATCTGCTTCGGTGAAGCTCCCTATGGGGCCACGAAGCGCTGCACTGGGCGGGGGGGAACGCTGTACTGTGTGGGTGGTGTGCCGAATTGGGTTTCCGGGACGCATGCGGACGGTCTAAGTGAGGGCTTCGGTGGAGCTCCCTATGGGGCCACGAATCGCTCTACTGAGTGAGTGAAAATGCAAAATTGCGTTACCGGGGCGCAGGGGATGGGGCACGAAGCGCTGTATTGTGTGGGTGAAACGTAGGGAAGAGGGGGAGGAGGGCCACGAAACGTTGTACTGGGTGTTCGGGACGCATGCGGACGGTAGCGCTGGGACCTTCGGTGGGGCTCCCTATGGGGCCACGAAATGCTGTACTGGGTGTGCGGGACGCATGCGGACGGTAGCACTGGGACCTTCGGTGGGGCTCCCTATGGGGCCACGAAACGCTGTACTGGGTGTGCGGGACGCATGCGGGCGGTCCCAATGGGACCTTCGGTGGGGCTTCCTGTGGGGCCACGAAACGTTGTACTGGGCGGGTGAAACGCAGGGAGGAGGGGGAGGGCCACGAAACGCTGTACTGGGTGGGGGGGACGCATGCGGACGGTAGCACTGGGACCTTCGGTGGGGCTCCCTATGGGGCCACGAAACGTTGTACTGGCTGTGCGAGACGCATGCGGACGGTAGCACTGGGACCTTCGGTGGGGTCCCCTATGGGGCCACGAAGCGCTGTTCTGGGTGTGCGGGACGCATGCGGACGGTAGCACTGGGACCTTCGGTGGGGCTCCCTATGGGGCGACGAAGCGTTGTACTGGGTGGGTGAAACGCAGGGAGGAGGGGGAGGAGGGCCACGAAACGCTGTACTGAGTGTGCGGGACGCATGCGGACGGTGGAGGAGGAGGGGGAAGAGGAGAAAAGGAAAACGCGGGGACCGTCTCTTCAAAACGAGGACCCAAGACCACAGGATGGTTGGGAAAACCCAGGAAGCCTTCGAGGGCTCCAAATCGTTGAATATCTGGAGGACATGAATTAATGATTTCTGCGTTTCCGCACTTCCCCTTCTATACGATTCCGAGGCTTGCGCAGGGCCTCCAAGGGAGTCCCTGGACGCAGGAAGCGACCAACATGAGATTACATGAGTTGGCCTATCAAGCCTAGCTATAACTTGAGCGCGCGCGAAGCGCGCGCGCGCGATGGTTCTAGTATATATATGTATTTCGAAGACCTCCCGATCCTCGTTCCTCTCGCCCCCCTCGCCCTGGCACCTCGCCGCCAGGCTCAGCCCGCCGCGCACCTTTCATCCAGGTCTGGACGCACTCCCTGGCAGGAACTGCCGGCTGTAAGGCAATGTGTGGATACACAGTTCCGCAAGATTTGTCCGATGTTTCCGGGAGCAATAGCTTGCCGTGGGGCTAACAACGCCCCGGCAGCACAATTTTTTCCTTGCGCGCCGCCGCGAAGGTGTCGCTCCCGCAGCTCATGCAGCAGCTGGCGGAGTACCGTCGCGGGGGAGCCCCCCCGGCGCCGGGCCTGGCCCCGCCGCAGGCGCCGCTGACTGGCCAGTCTGGCGAGAACGGCATGGGCGGTGAGGCTGCGAGACTTCTCTCCCGCCGCGCCCGCACGGGCCCCGTCCCCCGCCCTCCCCTTCCCCTCGGCGATGCGTGGAAGTGTGTCCTTTCGCTGTGGTGACCCCTTTCGGACCTCGGGCCAGATCTTCGACGCTGTGCCGATTTTCCCGTATCCCGAGCATGGGGCTCTCGTGATTGGTATCGTGCCTCCGCCCCCTTCCGACCCTGTATCCTCCCACTCAGGCTCCCATTCGTACTCGCTCACGCGAAGCCTCAACCCTCAGGCGCACATTCATACTCGTATGCGTTCATACTCAGACACTCATATTCAAATTCACTCACACTCGGACTCTTCTTGCTCGACGACCTCCTCTTGCAGGAGAGGTATCCTGCCACCTTCGTCACCGCCGTGGGCGAGGGTGCTATCAATCAGGCTCAGTGGGTACTGGCGTTGAGATACTCGCGCTGTTTGCCTTTGCCAGCACGGCCATCTCGAAGACCGTTGTCGTTGATGATTTTGTCTCCTCACCCTCGGACTCACTTCGCACACTCATATTTATAGACACTCAGAGTCACTCACGCTCAGACCCACTCATACTCGGACTCTCTCAGGCAGACCAGGCACACTCATGCTCGCCTCGCACTCCACTTGGTGAGGATGTCGCGGGCGGGGCGCTGGTTTCAGCACCCCAACAAGGGGAGCCGCCAGGAGTGGTTGCACGGCCCCGTTCGCGCCCAGCTTGTGAGGATGTCTCAGGCGGTTTACCTGTTTGGTTGATCAGACTCGTCTCTTTTGACCGCCCACTGATCACCGCGACATAGCAGGCGTGGCATGTCGGCACCCGAAAGGGGGGCCGCCAGGGAGTGTTACACTCGTCCGTTCGCTGGCAAACTGTGGGGATGTCCTGGGCGGTTTGTTCGTCTCGTGGCTGGGGCTCCTCTGCTTTCAGAGCAGATCGTGAAGATGACTCGAGCGAGGCGCTTGTTTTAGCACCCCAAGGGGGCCCAGATCGTGAGAACGGCTTTTTCGAGTCAGACGAAACGCTGGTTTAGGCACCCCAGACCCTTTCTCGTCAGAGCCCCGAGACCATCCCGACGTAGCAGGCACCTTCTTTTGGGCACCCAGAAATCTCGACCCCTTCCCCGAGGCCGGCTCTACATCCCGAGCCGTGCTCTCACGGCCACCGGGCCCGAAGTCGGCCCCCTGGGCCCCAAAGCGTTTGAAAAAGCCGGCCACCTCGACTTTATTCGAGTCGCCGGGAGCCCGACAGCCAAAGTCAAAGTCGGGGAACATGCGCCGCGACTGGAAGGACCAGTCATTCGGAGATCTGGGCAGTGAGGAGGTGGCGGCGCGCTGCGGCGGCGACGCCGAGCAGACACCGACGACGACGACGTCACCGCCGCCGACGACGATGACGACGACGACGACGGCGGCGGCGGCGAAGACGACGACGATGACCCCTGAGATCCGCGCGTTGCAAGTTTTTCACACCAGGCGTTCTCACCCAGCTTTGGGTCCAGGGACCGACCTCCTCAGATCGATGTGGCTCGAGAAGTGCCGCAGGACGATGGGGTCAGGGGCTATGTTGTCTCGGTTGCAACTCCTGGGAGGTTCAATTCAGCATCAGCACTGGTATGTACGCGTTCGAAGACTGGCCTAATCTAGCATCATCCCTCTGAATCCCGCGTGATCCGGCTTGATCTGGCTCATCCCTGGGCTTAATCCAGCCTCATCCGGCTCAACGGCCCCTCCATCGGGCCTAATCGTAGCCTTTAACAGTTCTCACGAAGACCCGCCAAAAGTTCTCTCCTGATGGCGGCGATTTTCTACGATGCCACGTTTTCTCCGCGCCGTCGGATCTCAGGGCCGTCGTCGACTGACGGCCGCGGCGCAGGGTCCGCTTCGATCCCATCGATCCGATTCGGTGTCGTTTCTGGCCAGCTTGATCCGATTCGACTGCGGCATTCCGACGACCCTCCCGACCCGATGCCTGCATTTCGCCGTTGTGCATCCTGGCGCAGCCGATCCGACTCGATCACGACTCCGTTCCGATGCAGCCCGATCCGATGCACATCTCGATTCTGTCCGACTTGCCGAGTCGATGCTGACCAGGACACTCGATGTCCTGATTTTTCTTAACCATCCTGTGGTGCTGGGTCTTCGTTTTGAAGAGACAGCGCCCCGCGTTCATCCCCTCCTCTGCTCTCCTCCTCTCCTCCTCCTCCTCCTCCTCCTCCTCCTCCTCCTCCTCCTCCTCCTCCTCCTCCTCCTCCTCCCTCCTCCCACCCTTGCCTAGCCGCCGCCCCGGCTCGAGGTTCTGGGCGCGGATTCTAGTTATCCGCGAGCCTCTCTCAGGGCAGCTGCCATGCGCGTCGGCCCGCGCCCGTGAGGCGAGCGGGTCTGGCCGCGACACGAGATGTGGCCCACGACGAGGTGAAGGGGGCAGACCAAGTTTGACCCCGAGCTGGAGAAAGCCCGGCCAGCCTGACGGGCTTGTTCGGGAACGATGCGCTCGGCACCGCGCACCTGGCCCACTCCTCCACAAAGGACGTGACCGAGCTCCTGGAGACGAGCGTCACGGGCCTCCCGCTGAAGGAGGAGCTGGACTACCTGGAGGGCGCCGTGGTCATGAGGCCGCCGAGGCCCGACGCGCCGTGGAGCAGTGCTACGTGCTGGGCGGCGAGCAGGAGGCCCTCGACGAGCAGGAGGCCGAAGTGCAGGAGGCCCTCGACGCGCAGGCCGATGCGCAGGGCTACGTGCAGACTGTCGAGCAGGAGGCCCTCGACTCGCAGGCCCGTGGAGCTCGAGGTGGGACAAGGGCTGCCGGGCGTGGCTGCGCTGGACGAGAAGTTCGTCGTGAAGAAGTCCGTGGAGAACCTCGGCGATGTCGACCTGAAGGGAAAGGCGGCGCTGATCCGATACGACCTCAACGTGCCCCTGTATGTTGACCAGGAGATCGCGGACGAGAAGCACATCGCGGCCTCAATCCCGACGGACATCAAGTGCGCCCCGGAGTGCAAGGCCCACGACGAGGTGAAGGGGGGGGCCAAGTTTGACCCCGAGCTGGCAGAAAGCCTGGCCAGCCCGACGGGCCTGTTCGGGAACGACACGTTCGGCACCGCTCACCGGGCCCACTCTTCCACCGAGGACGTGACCGAGCTCCTGGAGACGAGCGTCACGGGCCTCCCGCTGAAGGAGGAGCTGGACAACCTGAAGGTCGCCGTGGTCACCCTGAATGCGGACCGGGAGATCGCGGACGAGAAGCGCATCGCGGCCTCGATCCCGACGACCAAGGGCGCCAAGGTGCTGGAGTACTTCCAACCGGGCCAACCCGAGGACGGGCCCGAGGACAAGCTCTCGCTGAAACCAGCGGCGAAGAAGCTGGGAGAGCTGCAGAAGAAGGACGCCAAGTGTGCCCTGGACTGCCAGGCCCACGGCAAGGTGAAGGGGTAGACCAAGATCGACCTCGAGCTGGCAGAAAGACTGGCCAGCATGACGGCCCCGTTCGCGAACGGCACGTTCGGCACCGCGCACCGAGCCAGTCTGAACTACCTGGAGGGACTACCTCAGGAGGAGCTGGACTATCTGAAGGGCGCCGTGGACAGCCCGGTGAAGCCGAACAGGTTGGAGGAGGACTATGTCTTCCAGAACGACGCGTTACTGGGCGCCGTAGTGTCGCCCCTCAGTTGTGTCGACTCGGTGTTTAGGGAGAGGCGCGTGCGCCAGCCGCCCGCCCCACACGACTTCGTACTGTGCCGCGCCTATGCCAGACTGGCGCACGGCGTCTGGGCCCGTAATGAGGCCAGACCGCCCATGACACTCTCACTTTTCTGTGCCGTGCTGCACCCTCTGCGAGGAGGCTGTTAGGCCTCGGAGGGCGGCGTCCGGGCCCGAAGGAGGCCAGACCGCACGTGTGATTCGTTTCTGCCCTCTGCGAGGAGGCTGCACAGCCTCAGAGGGCCCTATCCCAGTGGGCCCCTTCATAAGTTGAGGGGCCCCCCCTAGGCGAGAGACTTCTGTGGGCCCCTTAAGCAGGGAGGAGGCCCGCGACCGCCGTGCAGGCAAAGCACGTCCGAAGGACCCTCGGCATGCGTAACTGCGCTCAAGCCCGCGCCCACCGCCGCCACCCTTGCCTCTGCCCCCCGTAGATCCTCATCACCATCATCATCGTCATCTTCGTTATCATCTTCATCGTCATCGTCATCGTCATCACCATCGTCGCGTTTCCGTGTCTGCTTCCATACACCGCTGACATATTTCGCGGCCCCATGGGGATCTCCACCGAAGGCCCCAGCGGCTGCGCCCGCATGCCGCCTCCCCTTACTTTGGCAGACCCCTCGCACTTTTCGTGGCCCCATAGGGAGCTCCACCGAGGGCCTCAGTGGCTGCGCTCGCATGCCGCCAGCCCCCTCACTTCGGCACACCCCTCGCACGTTTCGTGGCCCCATGGGGAGCTCCACCGAAGGCCCCAGTGGCTGCGTTTGCATGCCGCCACGCCCATCATCATCGTCATCATCATAATCATCAATATCATGTGGCATCTGCAGGAGCGGAGGGCGAGCGCGGCACTGCGCCGCCCCTCGTTGGGGGAACGCGATCATCATCATCAACATCAGCATCAGCGTCAGCATCATCATCAGCAGTCTCATCATCATCACCACCATCATCATCATCCCCATCACCATCACCATCACCATCATCACCACCATCACCATCGCCATCACCATCCCTATCACCATCACTGTCACCATCACCATCACCACCACCATCATCATCACCATTATCATCATCATCATCATCACCACTATCATCATCATCATCATCATCATCATCATCATCATCATCGCCATCGCCATCGCCATCGCCATCACCATCATCATCATCATCGTCATCGTCATCGTCATCGTCATCGTCATCATCATCATCATCATCATCATCATCATCATCATCATCATCATCATCATCATCATCATCATCATCATCATCATCATCATCATCACCACCATCATCATCATCATCATCATCATCATCATCATCGTCATCACCACATCATCATCACCGTCAACATCATCATCGTCATCATCATCAACATCATCAACATCATCAGCATCACCGTATCATCATCACCATCATGTTTCACGTGTCTGCTTCGCCAGACCCCTCACGTGCTTCGCTGCCCCATAGGGAGCTCTACCGAAGGCCCCAGCGGCTGCGCCCGCATGCCGCCCCCTTTCACTATGGCAGACCCCATCGCACGTTTCGTGGCCCCATGGGTAACTCCACCGAGGGCCCCAGTGGCTGCTTTCGCATGCCGCCACCCCCCCACTTCGGCACACCCCTCACATGTTTCGTGGCCCCATGGGGACCTCCACCGAAGGTCCCCGTGGATGCATCTGCGTGCCGCCACCCTCATCACTTTGGCACACCCCTCACACTTTTCGTGGTTCCATAGGAAGCTCCACCGACGTTCCCAGTGGCTGCGCCCGCATGCCGTCACCACCCTCACTTTGGCATACCCCTCACACTTTTCGTGGCCCAAAGGAAGCTCCACCGAAGGCCCCAGTGGCTGCGCCCGCATGCCGCCACCCCTCGCACTTTGGCACACCCCTCACACGTTCCGTGGCCCCATATGGAGCTCCACCGAAGGCCCCAGCGGCTGCGCCCTCATGCCGCCCCCCAATCATTTTGGCGCTCCTCTCACGCGCTTCGTGGCCCCGTGGGGAGCTCCACCGGAGGCGGCTCTCACAACGGCGGTACTCATAATTGCATATGGTTGGGTCCTTCGCCAGGGTAACTTTAGGACGTGGTCCCTGGAAGTCCCGACCCCTTCCCCAGGGCCGGTTTCTCATCCCCGCTCGTTTTTTGACTGCAGCCCCGCGCGTCCCCTCGCGGCATCGCCGCGTGAGTGCGCCCTCTTTTCTCTCCTTCTGTCTTTGCGGCCGCCTTTCGTCTACTCCACTCCGCTTGCATGCAGGAGACTTCGCAACACCGTAGCCCAGATTGCCTGGATGCGCGTGCGGACTGCCTCTGCCGCGCTGCGACGTAAGAATCAAGTTTTTCGACGGCCATGGGGCCCAGCAGGAGATGGATGAAAGCCGAGAGGCCGAAGATGGAGGAAAGCCCCCGCCTTGATTCCCTCAGGACGCTGCACGTTCGGGGACTGATCCTGCGGCGGCCTGGCGGGACCCCAAAGCCCCCCCCCCCCCTGCGGCCCGGAAGCGAGGCTCACCTCGCGCCAGCGGCGGGCCCGGCGCTGCGGTCTGGCGCCTGGGGCGTGCAGGAGGGGGCGGGGGGCGGGGCCGCTCGGGGGGCCACCAGGCTTTGTGGCTTGGCGGCGAAGTCCGACCGATTCAAGGTTCGGGGTCCGAGATTCGAGGTTTTCGGTGTTTTCGGTGTTCTCGTTGGCTCTCGGTGGTTTTCCCAGCCTCTGGATGCCTTCCAGCGGTTTCGCCTCGCCGAGAGCGCTCCGGGGGTGCCTGAATCGTCCCGGACGGCCGCCGGAGGCCAGAGTTATGAACCAAAAACCACCAGGGGGCTAGCACCCTCGCTGACCAACGAGGCAGCTCGATGGGCGGAGGGGGAAGGGTTTGGAATTCGTCGAGCACGTGGGGAAGTCCGAACCCTATCCCCGCCTCCAAGTGATGGAGGAGGATCCATGGTTGGTGGGGGTATAGGTCGGATGTTGCCACCTAGTGGTGGCCACACCGCGTGGCCGTGTGGCGAGTCAGTGGATGGTCGGGGTCACCGCACGGTTTCGGGACTCGGGTCGTTCTTTGGGGATGTCTCGGGCGTCTGGGGCTTCCAGGGTCCCGGAACCGTGCGGCGAGGGACCGTGGTGAGCTCCCTCTGGATTTCGAGGTCACCGCGCGGTCTGTCACCGCACTTTTTTGGCACTCCGATTTTTTTGTCCGACGACATGTTTTTCAATTCCGCCAACGGATGACCCGAAGGAACGCATAACAACGAAAGAGGGGGCTCCCTCTCCTCCTTTCTCTCCTCCGTCTCCTCCTGATTGCCCTCCTCGAGTCAAAAACTGCACATCGTAGTTTCCTACGCTTGCTCTGTGTTTTACGACACGTTCTTGCGTGCCTGAGGCTCAGCCACGCCCAGCTCAGTCATGAGAGGTGCTCTGTCGTGGTGCTGTCCGCCCCCTCGTTTCCTGGATTTTTTTTCTCAATCCCGTAGTTTTTCTTCGATTTCGGCCTCCAGGGCCCGTGAACGGGCCCCGGGGCCATGAAACATGATGGACCCAGGACGCGACACTACGCCCGAGGAAGGGGGCGAGAGTTCTGGGGCCGCGGATTACGAAACAGTTGCATCGGAGGATGTCTGGGAGGCAGAGGCCGCCGCCTCAGAGGAGGAACACGTGCCGATACCGCTGCCCCTCTCCCGTCGCCACCGCCGCATTCGCCTCGAAGTCCTGGTCAGAACGCGCCCCAGGAGAGGCCTGGGTATCTTTTGCCTTCTCCCGCCTTCGAGAATGAGGTTGTGGACGGCCTTCTTTCTCAGGGGCAACGTGAGGGGGGACATGCTCAGGGGGGATAGATCGACCCCCACTCCCCCATCGATTGCCAGAGAGGGTCCAATACGGTTTGACCGAGACAAAGAATCGAGGTCGGTTCGGGGAGGGTACCCTAATGTTTTTCGTGCTTGTTGGATGTTCTTGTGCATCATGGGGGAGGGTACCTTCGAGTGATCTTATGGTTTGGGGTGTTTTGGCTGGCGGAGGGTCTCATGTCTTGAAGGATGTTTTCTGTCCTAGGTCCGGCCGTAGTTTTTTTGTGAGAAGGCCCTAGTGGCTTCTGAGAAGGCTTCCTAGAAACCAGGAGGGCTTCTACTGGGGAAACGTAAGGCCCGAGTGCGCTTGAACTCGGGTTTGCCGACGCTCTCTGACGAGCGCGTCCCAGATTTTGACGGTCTAGTTTTCGTGGCATGTTCGCGGCGGGAGCCCGTGCCAATTTTCAGGCTTGGTCTCGTCCTTCTCATGATGGACCCGTCAGGCCAACCCGAGTCCCCCGAGCCCGAGTCGTACGTCTCCCCGATTACCCCTCCTCCACCTCCACCTCCACCTCCACCTCCTCCTCCTCCTCCTCCTCCTCCTCCTCCTCCTCCCCATGCCGAAGGCTAGCCGCAGCCCTTGGGGTGACACTTGTGCGGGACGCATGGGCCGCCAGTAAGGGAGTGCGCAAGGGGCATTCCCGACGAGCACCCGCACCAGCACCTCCAGGGTTAGGCAGCCAGGGCGACACCGGCCGTCCCTCTCTTGCACTCTGCTCCCGCTGTCGTTGCTGATCCTTCCCTCCACGTGGGCTCCCCGCTTTCTCGATCTATCCAGCTCATCCGGACTACCCCATCGAATCGCGTGCGCGGTAAGGCGCACGCGGCGGCAACGACCGCCGCCCCGACCCTTCGTGCGCGCGCCGAGGCGCGCAGGGCACGCAGACCGCCACCCTGCCCACGGGCCGCTGGCCCGCCCCCCTGAAACAGCACAGCTGGTGCTACCCCTGAGCTGCCTCTGCCACTCGCAGGAACACCACGGCAGCATCTCGCATGCCAGCGCTCTCGCTTGTTCCCTCGGCGCTTCTCGCTCTCTCTCTCTCTCTCTCTCTCTCTCCCTCTCTCTCTCTCTCTCTCGCTGCGGCTTTCTCTTTCGCTGTTGTCCGCTCCCGCTGCTGCCGCTGGCTCTTTTTTGACCGGTTTCCGCATTCTTCCACCTCTGCGTCAGTGTTTACCCATCATATGCGCCGTGCCAACGGTAAACGGCCATGTTGGCCAGTAGGGGGCATGCCCTTCAGCATGCAGTGCACGGGGGCCCCTCTGGCCATGTTCACGGAGAGGCTTCCGAGAATATGAGAAAGGCCGTATTTGTGTTTAGCCACCTTGCGTGTGTCCCCTCTTGCGGCCTAGAAGCTAGACGCCCGCTCATCTAGCTATGTCGATGCTTCCGTCAGTGGCGGAATTGGGCGTGCCGGCCAATTTGTCCCACAGGTGGATTCTGGAACGCCGTTCCAAAATCTACCGAATCGAGTGTGGATTTGGGCGCGCTGGCCCCTCCGCTATCGTTTTCAACCAGGCCAAGTAGCTATTTGGGGCTGTTTCCGTCAGTGGTGAACTTGATCGTGGCCCGTTTGCCCCAAAGATATCGGAACGACGTTTTCCACATTCCGCTGTAGGGCCCGAAGGCGTGCTGGCCCTTTGGCCAACTTTTGTCTCTGGGTCCAGAAGGCGGGTTTGGGCGAGCCAGCCCATCCGCTTTCATTCTTCGCTCCGCCACCGTCTGATCCCGAGGGGGGCCGCCAGGCCTGGGTCTGGCTTGGTTCATAGGTTCAGTATGAGCTGAAGTGCGGGGCGAGGCTGGCGGGGAAGGCGTGAACTAGGGTGGGTTTGGAATCGTGGCGCCCAAATCCTGGGCCCCGGAACTGTTCGGGGGGAAAATATGTTATGTTTCCCTTGCCCCTGAGGCTTCCGCCCCGCTCGTGGAGTCTAAGCTGTGTGCACAGTTTTCTGCCCATGAGTAGGCTAGCTCCTTTGAAGAATGAGCAGGTCAGCTCTGGGGCATCCTTGGTTTACGTGCCCGGGGTCTGCACTGGCGATTCCGCCAACCGGCCTGCAGCGATGAGGCCGACCAGGATGCCCAGGCGATAGTTGTCACAGGTGGCCTCCCTAACCACCGAGTCAGAGGGGTCTCTGCGTGGCGCACCGACTCCGTAACATTCGTAACCCTTTGGGTGGAGCGCCCTCGAGCGCCCTGGTGGAGTCGTCCTTTCCCCCTTTCCCACCCTCGCACTTTGCTCATGTCTTTCCCCCTGATCTTTGCTACGAGTCCGTTCCCACGTGACAAGGCCACGGTCCGAATGGGTCGGGAAGATCGCGGGGGAGGAACAGGCCCAAGGGGGCACCGCTTCTTCTCATCAGGAGACCCTTCGAGCCAGGGACCAGCCTGGGTCAACTCCAGGGGGGGCCTGTCGGCCTTCTCCTCCTCCTCCTCCTCCTCCTTCTTCTGGCACTTGGCATGTGGTGGTTCGACCGTTTGTCAAAACTTAGCTTCCCTTCCTTCTCCTCCTCCTCTTCCTCCTCGTCCTCGTCCTCCTCCTCTCCCTCCTCCTCGACCTCCTCCTCCTCGTCCTCCTCATCCTCCCTCCTTTTTTCCGAAGTCCGTCGCACTAGCTGATTTGGGCAGCCTTCCCACCTGGCGACCGGACCCGCGCTTGCCGTGCTGCAGCCTGCGGCGGGGATTGCCGCGCGGCGCGCAGCCAACGCCGCGGTTTCGGGGTAGAGGGATTTCGCGGACGCCTGGTTTGAGCGTGCGTGGTGGGCATCGTTTTGCCGAACCCAATCCCCTTTGGCGTGACCTGGGCCCCGCTGGGCAAGTATAGGTTGCTCCTTCGTGTTCCGAGGGGCGTATCCCCAACTGGGGTGGTGGGGTGCTTAGGGAGAGATACCATGGCCCGTTGGCGACGGGGAGTAAGCGATACTGACGTGAGACGTCCTCCGAGCCTCCGTTGTGACTGTGAGTTCGGGCCGCTGGGTTGCTTCGCGGTGGGCCCCGTCCGAGTCCACGCTGCAGCGCCCGCGGACTGCCTTGAGCGCGGCCAATGCCGCAGCGCGATGCGCGCTCGGCGCAGCAGTTGCCTCTTTCCGCCAGCCCTATTTGCAGTGCGTTGACGCGGACGCCGCCACTCAGGCCCTGCATCCGGGAACCTTTGCTTCCACCGTCCGCCGCCGCCTGCGCGCGTGGTGGCCATACCAGGCGGTCTTTGCCGATCTCCGCCATGCGCGGGTTCGCCAGCTAGCCCAACTCGCGGTCTCCTCTCCGGACACACGTTGGGCGACCATCCGCGCCCTCGCGAGAGCCTGGCCCACGTCCTGCCGCACGAGCGAAGCGCTGGTGGCGGTGCGAGGATGGCATTGTCCAGATCGCGCACCACTTGCAGTGCCGCGGTGCCTGGTGGACCGTATGCGTGGCCACGTGCGCCATCGCCCGCGCATGCTCCCGCCCCCGCATCGGCCTGGGCTCGCCAGCGGACTGCGACGCCGACCCGCGGGGCCAGAAGGGCCTCCCCCGAGCGGTGGCGCGGCCGGCCGCGCCGTGCCACGCGTGCAGCCTGTTGCGTCTCCGCGCCGGCCTGCGGCAGCCGCCCTCCAAGCTGGGTGGGGCCGTGGCCCGCGCCGCTCCGCAGCGCGTGCAGGTCCCCGCGCTCCCCTCGCGGGCCCAGCGCCCGCGAGGCCTTGGTGTCACGGGCGGCTCGCGCCGAGACCCGCTCCTCTCCTCTACCTGTTCCTCCTCCTCTTCCTCTTTCCCTCCTCCTCCTCCTCCTCCTCCTCCTCCTTTTCCTCCTTGTCCTCCTCGTCGTCGTCGTTGTCCTCCTCCTCCTCCTCCTCCTCCTCCCTCCTCGTCCTCGTCCTCCTCCTCCTCCTCCTCCTCCTCCTCCCTCTCCTCTTCCTCCTCGAATTACTACTGCTACGGCGCCTAGGCCCTTGTCTTAGAGGTCCCGCCAGCCGCGAGGCTGCCTGCACGGCGCCAGCGCTACGGGCGCGCTCCTGCTATTGCGTAGCACGGGCTGAAGAAACAGCAGGGTTGAAGCGTCAATGCGGCAAACGTGTGAGACCGGCTTGGGGGACGTGTCAAGGAAAACACAGGCTCCGGTCATCGCAGCAACTGGGAAAGGAGGCGCAAGAAACACACATGAGCACAGTGGCCCGCGACGGCGTGGAGTTAGCGCCCAGTTCGCCGAGGGAGGATCGAGCGAATGACCATGAGGACCCTGAGTGATTCTGAGGGGAGGGCCCTGGAGTTGGGAGCCGAACGATTTGCCTTGTGTAAAGCGGCGTGCGGGCGACTACTGGGGTGTACTCGGGCAGTGTTGCGAAAAGGCGCTCCTCCTCCCGTGGACTTGCCATGCGTCGGGGTCCGCGTGGGCGAACCCGGAGTCGCGACGACTGAAGGCGCCACCATGGGCTGAGCGTCCCGCCCAATAGGCCTCGTTCCCATTGCGGGCTCGCCGTGCCGTGGGTCTTCGAATTCGGGGGAGTGTCTCGAGTCATTATCCCGCCTGCGGGGAGAAGGTTTCGGCAAAGCTCTTGGCCGCCCAGAGGAGTTCGGCACACCAGGCGGGCCACGCAGCAGAACGGGGTCGGTTGCGCCGACGTCGCGCGCAAATTGCCGGGGTGACGTCGCGCGTACGTAAACGACCTCGTGTCCAATGTGGCGTGCCAAGCTGGCGGCCTGCGTAGGCCACCGCGCCGTGCTCTGTTGTTGTTTGGTTTCCCCCCCAATTCGGCTTGCCTAAGGGTTTCTATTTGGTTAAAGGTTGGTGCCTCCTATTGTTGCTTTGCCCGTTCCTCGGAGGTTCCTCGGGTTCCTCGAGTTCCCCAGGTTCCTCGGGTACGTGGCATTGCTTGGCAGCGCCAAGCAGTGCCAAATAGTGCCAGGCGATGCCGAGCAAGGCCAAGCGATGCGCCCAGCGCTTCGCCCAGCGATGCGTCCATGCAGTAGGCTTTCTCCTAATTGGGGCCGCGCCGGGTTCCTTGTTTCACCTCCCAAATTCCGTCGCCCAGATGGCCGTCGAGTCCCCCCCCCCTCAGGAGCATGCCTCTCCGGCGCCGCCCGTGGCCCAGGGCCAGCCCGAGCAGCGGGCGGGAGGCGCGCCGTGGCCGCAGCAGGCGGGGCTCTCGTCGTCGTCATGGTCGTCGTCGTCGTCGTCGTCGTCGTCGTCGTCGTCGTCGTCGGCGGCGGCTTCATCGGCGGCTGGTTTTGGGCATCCGGGAGGCTTCTCGTCGCCGCGGCGGGAATTTTTTTGCAAGTTCTAGCCAAGACTCACCCTATAGACAGGTCTGGGGATTAAGCCGACGGCTCTTCGTCGTCGTCGTCGTTGTTGTCGTTGTCGTCGTCGTCGTCGTCATCGTTGTTGTCGCTGTCGTCGTCGTCGTCGTCTTTGTTGCCGTCGGGGGATGAGGGGAAGAAGAGGATGGAGGCGGAGGATGGAGGATGGAGGATGGATTCTGATATTATGATGATGGTGATGGTGATGGTGATGGTGATGGTGATGATGGTGATACTAATGATGCTGATAATCATGATGACGATGTCGATGACGATGATGATGATGATGATGATGATGATGATGATGACGATGATGATGCTGCTGATGCTGCTGCTGATGATTATGATTCTGCTAACGATGATGACAATGGTGATGGTGATGAGGATGATGATGAGGATGATGGTGACGGTTCTGATGATGACGAGGATGAGGATGACGAATGATGGTGGTGGTGATGATGATGCTGCTGATGATGACGATGATGATGACGATGATCATGATGATGACGATGGTGATGATGGTGCTGATGATGACGGTTATGATGATGACGAGGAGATGGATGAGGATGACGATGATGATGATGATGATGATGAGGAGGAGGAGGATGATGATGATGAGGATGATGTTGAATCTGACGACGATGATCATGCTGATGATGATGACGATGCCGATGATGATGATTTTGATGATGCTGCTGATGATGATGATGATGACGACAGTGATAGTGATAGTGTTGGTTTTGGTGTTTGTGGTGCTGTTCTTTCTGGTGTCTGTGGTGGTGATGATGATGACGACGACACTGATGATGGTGATGGTGATGTTGATGATGACTGTGATGCTGGAGAAGGAAGACGGAGAGGGGACGGATGGGAATACATGTTTGGTGTGTTTGATTCTTGCAGTGAGTGTTGGCTTTAGGGGCGGATGGAGGACGAGGAGGAGGAGGAGGAGGAGGGTGGGTTATTGAGATGGAAGAATTCGAACAAGGAAGGGGACTATGTAGCACATCGTGTCATGGACGCAGGGAACGAGTTTGGATGTTATTGTGGCATCAATTGTGACTACAAAAGGCCTCCACGGCCAGGTCGGGTGTCGACGTGGCAAGGGTGAGGTGTTCGTCGACGTTGGCGGCATGGGGCAGCTGATCACGATCTTCACGGTTCTCGAAGACGGCGTCTCCACCCGCGTGCACACCAACGGGCTCGACAAGGTGGAGCTTTCCCCAGAGACGGCGGCCTCGATGGCCTCCGAGGTGGATTCGCAGCGGCGTTCACGCTGATGGCGCCCACGGCGGCGTGACGATGCAGAAGAGCATGATGACATGCATCTTCCGGCATGGCCGGAGAATTCGACTAATTTATCGGGATCTGTGCACGCATCCTCCACTTCTTTCTCAATTCCTTCTGCGCCGGGGGCCTCGTGTTCATCGACGCGGGCACGCAGAGGGAGCGACGCGACTCCTCAGGCACGCTCTCCGGGACAAGCTCCGACAGCCACGTGTTCTTCAACGCGTCCGCTCAGAGAGCAGGGAGCTTTGCCTTTTGACCCTCTTCCTCCTACTTCTCGTTCTTCTTCCCGTGCTGCCTACTCCAACTATTTCTCGGGCGACCTCTCCGGGTGCGTCTGGAATGCACGGGGCTTGTGTTGCGTGGACCCGCAACGCAGGAAACTCAAATCCAGGTACGCCGTAAACCTCGCCTACCGCCACGACTTCACCATTTTCCTCGAGGCCCATTCTGCCCAGAAGAGAAGCAGAACTCTTGAGCGGAAGCTTTGTGGGGACCATCGTTTCTTCTGGTGTGACTCTGACGCTGCCCCGAATGCTGGGGGGATCGGGATTGCGGTCAAGAGCACCTTCCTCGCCGATTTCCCAGAGATCAACTTCAATCCACGTATCGTTGGTCGACTCTGTACTCTGTCTCTGCTTGGGTCGCGGGGGCATCTGGTGATATGTGGTGTGCATGTTGAGGGAGACCGGCAGCAGCTACTAGAAGAGTTGTCTTCGGTGGTTCGTACCTATTCTGAGGCCACTCTCATTCTTCTTGGGGACTTCAATTCGGTTGCATGCGAGTCCGACCGGTTTGATGCCACCACTGGTACCTTCTCTGGCACCGTCGTACGGGACACCTTTGACACGCTGCCATGTCTTGAACTGCTCACCGAGCTGATGCAGGACGATTTCACGAGGAAAGGGGTTGATGCTGCAGGACATCTTCAGTACAGCCGGATCGACCGCATATTTACATCGCTACCGAGCTCTCTCCTAAGCAATCTTGACGTTCGCGTTGCTTCTCCTGGACTTGCCGCGCTCCCCCGCTTCGACTTGAGCGACCACGCTCCCGTCTTCTTCACTTGGCGGCAGCGTAGCAGCTCAACTCGATCCCCAATTATTCCAAGTTGGGTACCTCGGCACCCACTGTGGGGCATCGTGCTTGATGAGCTCCGCTTTGCACAGACTGCCGACAAATGGGGCGATGAGGTCGAGATGAAGCGCCTCTTCCACAAGGCCAGCTCCGAGGTCAAACGTAGGGCTCAACACCATGGTGCCCGCACCTCCGAGGAGAAGCTTTGGTGGTGTCTGAAATTTCTTCGCTCTGTGCACAACGGTTGTATTCAGCAGGCCCTCTCTGCAGCCGGCGTCTGCTCCGACCTCCAGGACATTCTTGGCAACTGCTGCCCCTCGAGCTGGACTCATTCAGTGCTCTCTCAAGTGGAGTCCTTCATTCAGCGCCTCAGCCAGGCGACGGCCGAGGAGCGACTGCAGGAGCTGGAGGATGCTGCCGACCTCCCGGAGTTCTACAAGAGCCGGAAGCGGTCTGGACTCATAGCGTGGGCTGCTCAGTTTTCACCGAAGCGCCGGCGTGCAGGCCTCCGAGGTCTCATCGACAACCAAGGTCTCCCAATTACCGATAATACGGTCGCTCATGCTGCCGTTGCTGACTACTGGGGTCCAGTTTTCACCGCGCAGCCTGTCGATGAGCAGGCAGGCAAAATCTTTCTGGACAAGTACGCTGTGCAGCTGCCGCGCCTTCAATGGGATATTTCGTTCGACGACTTCTCCAAGCTTCTCTCTGGCTTCACCGACTCAGCCCCTGGGCCCGATGGCGTGCCTTACGGCGCTTGGCGGCATGCGCCCGAATGGTGCCAACGTGTACTGTATTCTGCCTTGCTTTCATGGCTAGCCGGCGCGCCGCTACCTCGCGATGCCAACTATGCGTGGCTTGCCCTGCTTGCTAAAGGTCACGATCTAGCCTCGGGCCCCGCAGGCTTCCGATCCGTGCCCGACACGCGCCCGCTGTCACTGGGCAACTCTGATGTCAAGATACTTGCTGCTTCAATCAACCGGATTCTGGAGCCCGCGGTAGGCAAATGGGCCTCTGACCCACAGCGCGGATTTATCAAAGGCCGGCAAATGCTCGACAACGTCATCGAGGTGGAGACCCATATGGCCACCGCAGCTTTAGCTAGAGATTCGCAGGAACCCGGTCAGCCGGCAGCATGGCCTAGCAGTCCGTGCCCAGCTTGTCTGCTGAACGACTTCGGCGCCGCATTTCCGAGCTTGTCTTTAGCATTTCTGTGGATGACGTTGGAAGCGATCGGAATTCCAGTGTCCATCATCACGGCCGTGCAGCAGCTATATCGTGGGAACGCACATTTTTGGCGATTTGGCGGGATAATAACTGAAGTTTTCACCATTACTTCTGGGGTGAAGCAAGGTTGCCCCCTCAGCCCTACGCTGTTCGTTATAGCAATTGACGCATTTCTTCGAGCACTGGTTCATAACTTGGGCGACCGCTGCCTAGTGCGGGCTTTTGCCGACGACATCGCCATCATACTGGGGAGGTTATGGACTGACGGGCCTGTCACAGCATTCCTTTTCAACGAGTTCGCACGCATTTCGAATCTCAAGAGCAAGCCTCGGAAATGTGTGATCATTCCCTTGTGGCCGATTTCTTTGGAACGCTTCGCGCGGCTTCTCAAAGAAGAGATTCCTCTCTGGGGCGAGTTCTTGTGTGACTCTTCTGGCAAATACCTCGGTTTCTTCCTCGGTCCGGGAGCGGGCTCGTTATCTCTCTTGGCACCTATGCGCAAGTATGTGGGCAGAGTCCAGTACATCAAAGATCTTTCACTCGGCTTGCCTGCCACTGCATTGCTGTACAACTCCATCGCCATCAGCGTGCTGGGGTTCGTCTTGCAGCTGATCGAGCCGACCGCTGACCTCCTGAAGACCGAGCGTGCGATGCTTCGCAAACTGGTCGCTGGACCAGGGAACTGGCTGCCCCCGAAGTACGAATTCAATCTCGACCGGCTTGGGTTACCAGTGCCGTTTCGGTCTATGACGGCCTTGCATCTGGCTTCTGCGGGTAGGACCTTGTCTACTACATGCCCTGATTGGCGCACCAGCTTCAGCTTATTGCAGCGCGTTGCTTTGAGTGACCATGCTCCGCTGCTTTGGAGGTGGCAATCGTGGCTTGATCGTTTGGCCGTCCGTGTTTTGGATCGCGCACACACCCGGCTCAACACAATGGGAGTTTCATTGATTACGGTTCGCGGTGAGGCTAGGGCCGACCAAGCTGCGATTTACAAGCAATTGCATGGCCGCTTGTTTCCGGCGTGCCCTGTGCAGGCCATCCAAAGACGTCTGAAAAGGTGGAGCCACATTTTAGGACCGTCGAAACTGCGCGTCTGCGCGGAGTGTTCTGCAAGCAACATGTCCACGTTGCGACGACAGGTTCCTCCGTGTGTCCTCTCTGCCTGTATTCATACTCTTTTCAATGGCTGGACAACCGCACGGCGTTTTCAAAAGGAAGCCCCGTGCGTCTGCTGCAAGACCTCAGGGTCCGATTCGATCGAACATTATTGGTGTTGTCCGGTCTTCGTGGAGGCAGGCCGTCGCTATTTGCAGCTTGATTTGTCAAATTGGTCGCTCCGCCAGTTCTTACTTTGTTCCCCGTCTCACCCCTCTCACAAGGCCGTTTCACTCCATGTGTATAGCTGTTACACAACTCATGCTTACCTTCGGCATCAGAGCGCTGGGGACAATGCGCTTTGGGTGTACCGGTCTCAGTTGCGTGGCGTGCAGGAGCGAATGTGATTTCTGACGCCCGGGAGGGCGCGGGGGAAATTCTGTACAAAACGACCGTTTTGTACAGAATTTCCCCCCTGGCGTTTTCAACGAGTCTGTTGGATACGTCTTAAAGAGAATTCGTATCATTGGCTATCTGGGTTTTCCTCTGTCTTCTCCTCCTCCTTCCCCCTTGTCTGCTCGAGTTTGCGGTCAGAATTTCGGCCACGTTCGCAGGACAACCCTGCTGCTTGTGCAGGTTCTTCGCGAGTGTTACGTTCTACCCGAGTCCGGGGCCATTGCTGCTTTTTTCTGCCTCTAGTGCTCCTGGTCGTGTTCGTTCGGGTTCGCGGTTTGGAAAGTCCCCTTGAGGGGCAGCGGATTCCTCCTTCTCCCCTGCTTGTTTGCCTTGGAAAAAAATGTTATTGTGGCATCAAGATGACGGCTGACTCGGGTCTCATTCTGTCGGAGTGGAGATATGTCGCCGCGCCGTTTGTTCCGACGCGCGGCCTTCCGTCTTGGGGAGGGTGCCTCGGCCACCAAGGCAAACGCCGCCTTGGACGCAAGGTTTGCCGCGGGTTTGCTACGGTGCCGGCTTCGTCTACTTGGGCGCGTTGAGAGCAAACGGCGCGGCGACATGTGTAGGCAATCGCAACGAGTAAGATATGTCAGCATACGCTTGGTTTCTCAAATGTCAGCGCGCTGATTCATGTCTTCTGACATATGACCATTGCGGAATCTGCCAGGTACCATCTTTGAGGACCAGGGTCAGCTTTGACCTAATACCTAGCACTGCGTTCTCTTTTCCGGAGCAGAAGGTGAGCCCGGGCTTCCCTTTCAAAGGGGGGGCGGCTTCGGAAGTTACCTCTCCCTCCTTCCTTTTTTGTTTTTTGGTCTGGGCACAGGCGGGGGGGCGGCTTCAAGCTTCCCCCCTCCCCCCTCCTTTGCAAGGGGGGGGGCTTCAAAAGCTACCTCCCCCCCCCTCCCTTCCGGGGCCCTAGCAAAATGGCAGAAACCCTGACGACAGGTGCGCACCGCAGCGCTAAAGAACCCTTTGGAAAATAACTACCCCGGATCGTTTTCTTGTTTTCTTGTTTTCTCGGCCCCTGGATCGTTTTCTCGTGCCCTGATTCCTTTTCTCGTTTTCCTGTTTTCTCGGCCCCTGGTTCGTCTTCTTGTTTTCTCGTGTTTTCGGCTCCTGGGTCGCGGTCTCGTTTTCTCTGACCCTGGTTCGTGTTCTCGTTTTCTCGTTTTCTCGTTTTCTCGGCGCCTGGGTCGTGGTTCAGTTTTCTCGGACCCTGCTTCGTTTTCTCGTTTTATCGTTTTCTCGGCCCCTGGGTCGTGGTTTTGTTTTCTCGGGCGCTGGTTAGTATTTTCGTTTTCTGGTTGTCTCGGCCTCCGGGTGGTGGTCTTGTTTTCTCGGGCCCTGGTTCGTTTTCTCGTTTTCTTGTTTTCTCGGCCCCTGGGTCTTGGTCTTGTTTTTTCGAGCCAAGCGTTTTCTGGTGATCTCGGCCCTTGGGTCGCGGTTTCCTCGGACCCTGGTTCGTTTCTCTTTTTCTCGTTTTCTCGGCTCCTGGGTCGTGGGTCGTTTTCGCGGTTTCTCAGTTTCTCGGCCCCTGGGTCGGTGGTCTCGTTTGCTCTGAGGCCTGGTTCGTTTTCTCGTTTTTTGTTTTCTCGGCCCCTGGGCTGTGGTCTCGTTTTCTGGGAACCTGGTTCGTTTTTTCGTTTTCTTGTTCTCTTGGCCCCTGGTTCGTAGTCTCGTTTTCTTGGACCCTGACTCCTTTCTATCGTTTTCTCGTTTTCTCGGCCCCTGGGTCGTGGTTGTGTTTTCTCGGACCCTGGTTCGTTTTCGCGTTTTCTGTGCTCTTGGGTCGTGGTCTCGTTTGCTCGTTTTTTTTTTTTTTTTTTTTTTTTTTTTGTTTTCTCGTGTTCTCGGCCCCCCGGGTAGTGGTCTCGTTTTCTCGGACCCTGGTTCGCTGTTTCGTCTTCTCGTTTTCTCGGCTTTTGTTTTTTGGGGTTGTTTTTTCGGGCCCTGGTTCGTTTTTATGTTTTCTATTGTTCTCGACCCCTGGTTCGTAGTCTCGTTTTCTCGGACCCTGGTTCGGTTTCTCGTGTTCTCCGTTTCTCGGCCCCTGGATTTTGGTTTTGTTCTGGGCCCTTGGGTCGTTTTCTCGTTTTCTCGTTTTCTCGGCCCCTTTGTCGTGGTCTCCTTTTCTCGGGCGCTGGTTGGTTTTCTCGTTTTCTCGTTGTCTCGTCCCCAGGGTCGTGGTCTCGGTTTCTCGGGCCCCGGTTCGTTTTCTCGTTTTCTCGGCCCGTGGGTTTTTGTCTCGTTTTCTCGGCTCCTGGCTCGTTGTCTCGTTTTCTCGTTTTCTCGGCCCCTGGGTCGTGGTCTCGTTTTCTCAGACCCTGATTCGTTGTCTTTTTTTCTTGTTTTATCGTCCCCTGGGTCGTGGTCTTGTTTTCTCGGGCCCTGGTTCGTTTTCTCGTTTTCTTGTTTTCTCGGCCCCTGGGTCGTTGTCCAGTTTTCTCGGACTCTGGTTTGTTTTATCGTTTTCGCGTTTTCTCTGTCCCTTGGTCGTGGTCTCGTTTTCTCGGATCCCGTTTCGTTTTTTTAGTTTTATCGTTTTCTCGGCTCCTGGGTCGTGGTCTCGTTTTCTCGGGCCTTGGTTCGTTTTCTCGTTTTCTCTGCCCCTGGGCTGTGGTTTCGTTTTCTCGGACGCTGGTTTGATTTCTCGTTTCCTCGTTTTCTCGGCCCCTGGTTCGTAGTCTCGTTTTCTCGCGCCCTGATTCCTTTTATCGTTTTCTCGTTTTCTCGGCTCCTGGGTCGTGGTCTCGTTTTCTAGGACCAATATTCGCGTTTTCTCGGCCTGGGTCGGGGTCTCGCTTGCTCGAGGCTTGTTTTCTCGTTTTCTTGTGTTCTCGGCCACTGGGTCGTTATCTCGTTTTCTCGGACCCTGGTTCATTGTCTCGTTTTCTCGTTTTCTCGGCTTCGGGGTTTTTGTTTCGTTTTCTCGGGCCCTGGTTCGTTTTCTCGTTTTCTCGTTTTTTCGGCCCCTGGGTCGTGGTCTCGTTTTCTCGGGCCCTGGTGCGTTTTCTCGTTGTCTCGTTTTCTCGGCCCCTGGGTCGTGCTTTTCGTTTTCTCGGGCCCTGGTTAGTTTTCTCGTTGTCTCGTTTTCTCGGTCGCTTGGTCGTGGTCTCGTTTTATCGGACCCTGGTTCGTTTTCGCGTTTTCTCTGCCCCTGGGTCGTGGTCTCGATTTATCGGACCCTGGTTCGTTTTTTTTTGACCCTGGTTCGTTTTCTCGTTTTCTCGGCCCCTGGGCCGTGGTCTCGTTTTCTCGGGCCCTGTTTCCGTTCCTTGTTTTCTCAGCCCCTGGGTCGTGGTCTCGTTTTCTCTGACCCTGGGTCTTCCTCGTCGTCGGTCGTCGGTCGCGCGTCGTCCGTCGTCCGTCGCCGTCTTCGCATGACCTCGTCCTCGTCGCGACGACCACGACGAGGTCATACGAAGACGGCGACGATGACGGCGACGGCGGCGACGACGACGACGAGGACGACGACGGCGTCGTACGAAGACGTCGAGCGACGGCGACGGCAACGACGACGGCGACGGGGGAGGATCGTCTGGGAGGGGGAGTTCAAGGGAGGGGGATGGTAGCTAAGCCGTCCCTTCCCTTTTGGAAAGGGGGGGAGCGGAGGGTAGCTTCCGGCAGGGGGGAGAAAAATGGAGGGAAGGGAGGGGTGGCTTCCAGCAGAGGGGGGTCAAAGGAAGGGGGGGGTGGCTAAGCCCCCCTTCCCTTTCGTAATGGGGGATGGGGGGGTAGCTTCCCGGGTGCCGAAATGGAAGGAGGGGGGTGGGCTGCTAAGCCCCCCCCCTTTGGAACCAAAGGGGAGAAGGAGGGGGGTAGCTTCGGGCAGAGGGGGGTCAAGGGAAGGGGGGGTAGCTAAGCCCCCCCTCCTTTTGGAAAGGAGGGGAGGGGGGTAGCTTCGTAGTGGCGAAGAAAGTGGGGGGGGTGGGGGGTTTTTTCGCTTCAGGTCTCACGCGAAACAAGGGGGGCGGGGGTCCGGTGGGGGGCTTCCAGCAGGGGAGGTGGAAGGGAAGGGGGGTAGCTAAGGGGCGACCCCCCCCCTTTGCTCCGGCGCTGTGGGTGCGCTCTCTCTACGGTTTCATCAAGTAAGGAAATTAAGGAAACAGTGGATGGAAGAGAAGGGAGGAATTGTGACGGCGCGAAGGCCGAGGAACATGAGGCGGAGGAGGAGGGGGAGGATGTTAGACGCAACGATCCTTGGATCACAACCCAACGCAGAAAAAAAGGGAAGAGGGGGTGGAGGAAAAGGACGAGGAGGAAGAAGAGGCGACGACGACGACGACGACGTCGTCGAGCGGAAGCAGCGACAGGCGCGCGGTCACACGATGTCCCCGCCCGTGGGCCAGGGTTCGCAGTGGGAGCGCATTCCGGACCTCATCGTCGTCGTCGTCGTCGTCGTCGTCGTCGTCGTCGTCGTCGTCGTCGTTGTCGTGTCGTCGTCGTCTGTGTCGTCGTCGTCGTCGTCGTCGTCGTCGTCGTCGGCGGCGTTGTCGTCGGCTTCGTCGTCGTCGTCGTCGTCGTCGTCGTCGTCGTCGTCGTCGTCGTCGTCCCCCTCCTCCCCTTCTCTCCCTCCTGCTACCTACCTCTTGCCTCCTCGCCGTTGTCCTCCTCCTCCGTCCTCACTCCTCCTCCCTTCTCCCCCTCCTCCTCCTCGTCCTCCTCCTCCCTCCTCCTCCTCCTCCTCCTCCTCCTCCTCCTCTTCCTCTTCCTCCTCCTCCTCCTCCTCCTCCTCCTCCTCCCACTCGAACGGTAGACTGTCTGTGCAAGGAAGGTGTAGTTGCAACCTCTGTTGCCGCTGTTTGAGGCTCATAGGAACTCATTTCCACGCCCGCTTTACACAGAAACATCGCTATGCATTCTTTCTTCCGCTTACAGCTTCGCTTATCTATCTTGCTCTCTCTAGTTGGTGGCAGAGCACGCTGTTCCATGATCCACAGCCGCCATGGCCCGTGAGGCTCTCCTTCGTTCTGGTGGCGATCGCTCTACAACCCGCTTTGCATCAACGTGGTCTACACTTTTCAGCTCTACGTTCGTACTGTTCGTCCAGTTTGCCGCGGCAAACAACGCGCCCCGAAGGGCAGTCGGGGCCTCCCCGGCCCATCCGCCAGGACCAGCGCAGGCACAAATATTTCGACACGTGCGACTACTAGAAACACGGCCTTCCCTGCCCGTCAGCCGCCTCCCCCTCGGGTATGGTCGGAGTATGTCAGGGCTGCTCGTGGGCCTTCGTCGCCACAGCAGTCGCTTGTCATTGTTGCCGCAGGCGTCATAACGATATTGGATGCAACTTCCCGGGCACGTGCATGCACAGGAGGGTTGGGCAATTATGTTGTCCTCTCTCCAGGAAGCCGTTGCGCGAAATTGAGACTTCTGGTACTTGGTTTTCCAGAGCATGACCCTCTACATTCCCTACGCATTCCTTGCTTCCTGGCAGATCTGGATCCGCATGCGCACTCCCCTTAACTATCGCACAGCTGGCAGTGCTCAGTACATTGACAATGCGATGCACGACGAACTCTCCCGCACCAGTTTTGCGGGGTGCTCCGAGTGTACTTCGCGCACCAACCACGCGACAGCAGAGAAGACCCAATACGCTGATGAGGTGGGACCGACACCCATGACGGCTTCGAGGTTCGCTGCCCGAACATCGCCAATGGTGGGTGCCAGGACTGTCGCGCCTCCTTGACACCTGGAGAGGGCTTCGCTCTGGATGGAAGGCCATCGGAGTGGGCATGGTCACTGCCATCAGTTGCATCTCCTGCGTGGGTGCGGGCGGCGGAGGTGGCGGCAACGTGCGGCGCTTCCGCGCCTGGGGGCCCGAGCGGCATTCTCGTGTGCTTTTCTAGCGATTGGGTCACTGGCGAACTCAGATCTCAGCGAGTTTATCCAGTGTCCTCATCCAAGGTAGTCCTGTCAGCGGCAACCCAGCGCCTCCCATGATTCACCTCGTGCATAAAGTGGCCGAACGGTGGGCCAGCTCGCAGAGGAGGAACGCGCTCAAGCGGCGTCGGCTCTGATGAATTCCAACCGATTGCCGCGGGGGCGCGTGGACGATTTCCTCGCCAGATTCGACATCTTCCGCGACAGAGCGCAGATCGGCTACGAAGGGCTCAGCTGCCTCTTGCTGCGCGCGGTGGGCGCGTCGAACGTCCAACTCGCCCTGATCCTGCAGCGTTGCAGCGTGGCCTGCCCGACAGACGCGCCGCCGCTGGCGCGCGTGATGGGCCAGCTGCGCAGATTTGGATGCATAATCGAGGGCTCGCCGGGCAATCTCGCCTCGGCCGTGCGCTCGCCCCAGCTCCGAGCGTATTTCGCGGGTGCGCCCGCGCGCGATCAGGCTCGGAGTGCCCGTGGCGTTGCAGCCGAATCGAGCTGGGATGGCACGGGCCCTTCGGCCTCGGGAGCGGCGCCGAGCCCGCCTGCGACGCCGTTGGCAGCCCGCGCTGACGCAGCAGCATCGAGGGCGGCATCGCGGGCGGCATTTCGACTCTTGCGCCCCGACTCCGACGCCGTCTGCCCACTCGGCGAAGACATCGCCCTTGTCAGAAGACACGCAACCAGGCGCTTGGCTTCTTTTTGCCTTCCCACTGCCTGCTCACTGCTGGTCACTGCTGCTGCTCAGTGATATTCACTGGTGCGCACTGCTTGCTGACCGTTGCTCAATGATGCTCAGTGTTGCTCACTGGTGCTCGGCAGTGCCGACGGCTGCTCATTGCCGCGCAATGCTTGTCCACCGCTGTGCAGTATTGGTGAGTACTGCTCGCTGGTGGTCACTGGTGCTCAATCCTGGTCAGTGCTACTCACTGCAGCGCAGTGCTTGCTCAGTGCTTGCCCACCGCTGCTCACAGCCTGATCGCTGCCGACCCCCTTTCGCTTACCGCTGATCACTGCCTGCCAACTGCCTGTGCGCTGATGCGCAGTGCTGCTCATCAAAGTCAACTGATTGCTTACTGCTGGCCAGTGCTGTTCAGTAGCGATAAAGGCGCGCTCACTTGCTCATGATGTCTCACTGCCGCTCGCTGCTCCCCACTGGCGGCTCAGTACTGCCCACTACAGCCCACTGGTCCTGGTGAGAAGCGTGGCCCAACAGGACCGACTGTACCGTTTGCGCTGCCTCCTGGTGCTGAGTTTGGGGCCTTCGGAAGGGGTTGCCCTCCCGCTCGACGGACTCGAGACGATGGCAACTTGAGCCAAAAAGGTGATGGATCGTCCTCGTCCTATCCTCCACCCCATCGTCCTCCTCTTCCATCCTCTTCCCTCCTCTCTCCTCCTCCTTCCTCCTTTCTCATTCCTCCCTTCCCTCATCTCCTCCCCCCTTCCCCGTCCCCTCCCAGTCTTCTCTTTCCTCGTCCCCCTCATTCGCCTCCCATCTCCCCCTCCCTCCATTTGATTCCCGTAACCAAGAACCTCGGCTTCACCTGGCTGCGTGTGCGTTGGGGCGGCACGGCATCTTAATGCTTCTGCAACCAGTATACGGTGCAACCTTCTCCCCACGCCGCAGTGCTTCGCAGTTCTGGCTCGCCGTCGCGCCACCGCCTCGTGTGATAGCCGCGACACAGCCCAATTGAATCCTCCCTCCCTGTGTGTGTGTGTACCCCCCCGGATCTCATCCGCATAACCCGGTGGCACAACGTTGCACATCGCCTACGTGGTGCTCTTCTTCCTTCTGGGCCTCCTCCGAATCATCCGGTGGCACAACGTTGCTCATCGCCTTCGTGGTGCTCCTCTCCCTCCTGGACGTCGACCTGGTCAAGTGGCACGTCTTCGTGTGCAGTGCTTGAGGCTGGTGTTCGCGACGTGCCGTTCACGGCAACACCACTTCGCTTGCCCTCCGGGTCTCCGCCCCCGGTCCCTGTCCGCGGCGTATTTTTTCCTGTGCAAGCTCTTCGGCACCGCCTGCACCTGGGGCTCCGCCCGCTCCGGCCGCCTGAGGCCCCGCCTTCCTGTGCCCTGTCTCCCTAATTGAAGCTGTGCGTCGCCCGCCTAGCTTTTAGTGGAAGAGGTTCGCTGTCGCCCCACCGACCCCAAAAATGTGTGTACCCTCTTTTGCCTGCTTTCTCTCCTCGTCCGCTGCAATTTGTCCCAGCTGTTGACACACGATTGATTTTCTTTGTGAGAAGATCGATCCATCGTCTCCATCCTTCGGATTTCGGGTAGGGTTGGCTCTATGATCCTTCCCACACACTGGGGGACTCAATTGTGGCCCGGCCGCCCCGTGGTAGCCCGACCCTTCCTGCTCGCGCTCGAGGCTCCCTGTCGGGCCGTCTGCCCAGAGCCTTGGGTGGGGGAACCACAGGTCTCGTCACGAAGGGGTTCGCCACTGGAGTACGGTCAAGAACTCGTGGCTAGCGTATCGCGCCGCCGATTCTGGTCCACCACGTTTCGGAGCGACGCAGCAACCACCTCTCAGTCCTCAAAGACCAACGCTCCGAGCCTTTCGAAGCCTCCCGCCCTGCGGAGCGGAGCCTCGCGCTATTCGATCGCAGGGCATAGCGCGTCGCTGGGACCGCCGCCGCGACACGCGAAGCAAAAACTCCCGACCGCAGCCGGTCTGGCCGCGCCCGAGAGGACCTCAACACCCAGCTGGTCAGCGCCGTGAGGGAGAAGAACCTGGTCGCTGTGCGTCAGCTGGTAGTCCAGAAGGCCGACATCAACAGCGTCGAGGGCCACCCCGCCCGGCGCACGCCCCTGCAGCACGCGCTTGAAGTGGGCGGCGACATCGACACGGTGAACTTGCTCTTGCAGGCGAAGTCAGACCCGAACATTGTCATGGCGGGCGGAATGACGGCGGTTCCCCAGCGCTTGCGCAAGGGGGGGCGCCAGCCGAAACATCGGCCAAATTATAGACGCTTCGCGTAACCCCACCAGCCCATCCAGAAACGATGCCAAGAGGAATTGCCTCGATCAGGGAAGTGGGCAGCACACAGAAGCGGTCTTGGGGCCTCTTGGAGCATCGTGGGAGTCATCTTGGAGGTCATCTTGGG